TGCCTGTAATCTGCCTTCCTGTCCGTGTTGCCTGTAAATGCTTGGTGGTTCCCGTTCCAGTCTTTTCCTTTTTTGTTTAGTTTCACGAGAGGTGGTGCTGGTTCCGTGGGTTGAGCTCTGTTTTCTTTGTAGGGGACCACCCGTCAGTGCAGGCTGCATGTGGCCATGGCACTGAGCAGATTTCATCAGCTTCTAGTCCACTGTGGACTAAGAAAAAAGGTCTGGCAGTCTGCTTCTGAGAATCAGGTGGTGGTGTACTCCTAGCTGATCACGGGAGAAGGCAGTGTGTCATTCCGTGGCATGTAGGCTCACCATGAATCGGGGATCAACTTGATGGCAGCTGCCAGCCAGCATCACACAGTACTACCTGTTGATGGTGTGTCAGGCGAAGGTTAAGTTTGAGCCTCTTCTTTCTAGTATAAATACCATTCTGGAGTTCTTGCCAAAGCAGAGGAGAACAGGCCTCTTCTCCGCCACTCAGACGCAGGAAGTGGAGAACCTGGTGCGGGCAGGCCTCCGGAACCCTGTCCGCATCTCTGTGAAGGAGAAGGGCGTGGCAGCAAGCAGCACCCAGAAAACCCCATCCCGCCTGGAGAACTACTACATGGTGAGCACTGGCATTCTCTTCTTGATGGGTCCTGCAGTTCAGTTACTTAGTAAGGACAGTGAGGGCACTAGGGGTTTGCTGGCTGCATTGCAGGAGGGTGGGTCTTGGAGTGCTTACCTGGGTCACACTGTAAAGCAGTCTGAGTTGCTGAAGGAGAGCATAAGGAAGTCAGTATGGGCACAAAGGACGGTTTCTCTGGACCACCTGGCTCTAGGTTACCCAAGCACACACACACATCGGGTGTGCTGCGGGCCAGACCCCACTCCACACCTGTCTCCAGGCCCAGCGGAATGTGTCTCTGCCTGAGTTATAGGCATGGGCATAGCCAGACACGCGGGGGATGCAGAATCAAATGAAGGAGCTGCTTGAAAGGAGCCCGTGTCAGCTGGCAATGTTCTCTTTGACCCCACTCTCAGATCTATACTGATCTGCATCTGGGAATGGCTGCTTTTGTGCCAGTAAGCACTGTGCTCTTGTTGCATGCCATTGAGTAGACTCCAACTCTTGGCAGACCTGTAGGATGGCAGACCTGTAGGACAGAGTAGGGCTGCCTCACGGGGTTACCCCAGCTGTAATCTTTATGGAAGCGGATCACAAGGTCTTTTCTCCTGCGGAGCTGGTGGGTGGACTCGAACTGCCGACCTTCCAGTTAGCAGCCAGGTGTTTAACCGCTGCACCGCATGGGTCCTTCTGAGCTGCAGCTGCCATTGTGTCGTTTCCTCACCAGGCACAAGAGTGGCAGGGCTTTGGGAACTTTCATCTCTTAGTGGCAAAGCCACTGCTTTTATGTTCTGCTCATCACTGAAATGGCCAAGGGGCTTGAGAAAGTGTGGCAAGCTGAAGGGCACCCACACAGAGAGGAGGTGGCCTTGGGGAACCGGGAGAGCCCACGGGCAGGTGTCACTGCTTGACAAGGTCCATCGACGTTGCTTTCAGGGGCCTTGAGGCTCTTGGATGTGGCTGTATGTGTCCAAAGAAGTGGGGGGTTTGAAAACTAGAGTGTCCGTGTTGGTGTGGACGGGTGACAAGGCTGCTGTCTGTGTGTGTCACGTGGTAGGAGGGGGAGGGTGGTGGGGTCTGATTAGAATTACAAGCTGCCTCTGGGCAGCTGGCGGGAGCAGGCCGTTCAGCTCCTACAGGCTCAGTCAGGTGGGGGTTGTGCCATCATCGACGGCTCTGAGGCTGCAGGGAGTGGCCAGGCTCACAACCAGGCTCTGTCCCTGATGGCTTTGCCTGGGTTCCATCACCCGTGACGTAGGCGATAGCAAGACCGGCCACACTGGGTCGTGGTGAGATTGACTCATTAGTTCCTAGAAAGGCGCAGCACAGGCCTTTATACTTGGTGCTGATAGATGTTAGCTGCGGACCCTCACTGTGGCCATTTTCTGTGACGTGCATCTGGTTTGGGTGAAGATGGGGCTGGATTCAGACGGAGTTGTTTTCACTCAAGGACTTGCATGGAACATTGACTGGGTTATGAACTGGACTTGGGTTTGCGTCCGCGGAGATCTTCCTGTGGTTGTGCATGGTCCCGTCTGCAGTCCTGCATGGGCCTGGAAGCAGTGAGTCTCAGCTTGGCCGTGCACCAGAACCTCCGGGGAGCGCTTAATGATCGGGATTCTGGGGTCCAAGCCCAGAGCTGGGAATCAGAATCAGTGTACTGCCCGAGAATCTGCATTTACCCCGGACAAACGTGAATAACAGTATTCATTGCAGCATTATTACAGCAGCAGCGAGGTGGAAAACAACCCCAGTAGCCATCAACAGAGGACCAAATGCACTGTACCCCATGCATGTAATGGAACAGTGGTCAGCCTTGAAGGGAAAGGAAGTTCTGATGCCGTGATTCAGATGAACCTTGAGAATGTTATGCTAAGTGAAGTAAGCCAGAATCGGAGGACACAGGCTGCAAGGTTCCACGTCTTTGCGAACAAAGAACAGGCAGTGTGGGATAGGGCATGTGGACAGGCAGGTGCATAGAGACCAAACCGGTTCTGTGGCTTCCAGGGGCTGTGACAGGGGGAAAGGGGGCACTGTTGTTTAAAGGGTGACCGGGTTCTTTTTGGGAAGAGGAAGCATTTTTGGACTGGATGGTGGTGACGGATGTGATGCATGTCACTGCTTTGCACACTAGAGTGGTAGGAACAGCAATTGTTTTGTGATACGTATTTCAGCACAATTCAAAAATTCTACTCTGGCTGATGGTGTTAT